CAGTGAGTATCGCCATACAGCTACTCGTCAAAGAGACTAGTGAAGCCGATCCTTTGACCAAATGTGTACTAAACAGTTGTGGTATCTCTCCTGTCATGGGCATTTCACCTATCCTTTATCCTCGTATCACGCCTTCACTATCACAATTTTTTCCTCGCTTATTTAAATCAAGTGTTGTGTGCCCTTTTGAGCGGTCTCACCCCCCTTCACCCTTGTGCTGGGAATGTTGAATAGTCTGTCATATTGTTACGCAGTCCTCCTTCCCTAGGTCTTATCAGAGTCTCTATTTTACCCTGTAGGATCCATCTGCTATCTACCTGTTTTAAGCATTTCACTCGACCCCTACCACCCCATCTGTGCTTCACGAGGCGTTATTACCCATTCCCTGCGTCTGTGTAAGTAATTTGAGGCTAAACCCTCTGAGTAAGTCTCATGGTCAAGCATTTGCTACCTGGACCACGTCTATGGTACAACAGGCCTACTGTCAGCCAACTAGCTCTAGTCTCCGTCGCATCTATCCTGTTTCTATCCCTAATACCAAGTCTACGGCTTTCTATGCCCTAGTCTTTTGTGTGCCAACCCACAAATGTTGTTGTACTGCTTGCTTTCATTAGGCTCAATGTTGAACCACAACCTTTGTGGGTTGACACACAAGAGACTAGGGCATAGCCAGTCATAGACTTGGTATTAAGCCGTGATTCCTAAACCGTGCGTCGCGGTGCCCCGGGAAGCCGTGGCCTTTTTACAGGAGCGCCGCGAAATATTGTAAAAGCTTCAATTTGAGAAAATGTGTAGTGATTTTCAGGCTCATCCATCACAGTAATCCTTAAATATTAATTTAATGTTAATAAAATAATGAAGATACAGAAGTTTTTTTCAATTCTTACGAATAGTAATACTTATGGTAGGGCGCCATGGAAAAAATTTTAAATAAAAAAGAGCGCAGCGACCAGGAAAAGTTTGGGAACCACTGGTATTAAGGATAGAAACAGGATAGATGCGACGGAAACTAGAGCTAGTTGGCTGACGGTAGGCCTGTTGTACCATAGACGTGGTCCATGCAGGAAAGGCTTGGCCATGAGACTTACTCAGAGGGTTTAGCCTCGAATCACTCACACAGACGCAGGGAATGGGTAATAACGCCTCGTGAAGCACAGATGGGGTGGTAGGGGTCGAGTGAAATACTTGAAACAGGGAGATAGCAGACGAATCCTACAGGGTAAGAGTGAGACTCTGATAAGACCTAGGGAAGGAGGACGGCGTAACAACATGGCAGACTGTTCAACATTCCCAACACGAGGGTGAAGGGGGGTGAGAACGCTAGCGTGGAGTGTGGAGGGTCCTCATGAAATCCGCTCAAAAGGGCACACCAAACTAGATTTAAATAATCGAGGAAAAAATTGTGGTAGTGAAGGCGTGATACGAGGATATAGGATAGGTGAATAGCCCATGACAGAAAGAGATATACCAAAACTGTTAACACACATTTGGTCAAAGTATCGGCTTCACTTGTCGCTTTGACAACTTGTAGTGTGGTGCTAAGAGTAGCACGACTCATTGACGATGCCGGCGAAACTTCTGGGAATGTACTATGTCCACGGTCCGACTTTGGAAATAATCATGCATACATTAGACTCCGGACTAGATTCGTTCCTCTAAGTCTTCCTACCAATATGAACAAGTTGCGAAAGCAAGGTAACACTTTCTATGTTAGATTAAGCTCATCAACCAAACTAGACGTGCCAGATTACACAGCCCAAGTCATGCCTTTCGTTGGATGGTTAAACCTTAATAACTCTAGACTAAGAGGTTATAATAGGTGGGCTTGTAACCTGACTTGCACGCCAACAAGCTTATATCTCAGTATCTCAACCACAGTTGCTTGCGGACTTACGCAGACTCGGTCAGGTCTTTTTCTTGGCTCATTAAGCCCTGATGACTAGATCCTGACATTTGCCTCTGTTGATCACCCTGATTTAGGACCGGTATTGGGTATAGACGTTAATACAAATACATAAACACTCGAGAAAAAGTAGCGTGACGAATATTAAAGATAATTAGCCAAACCTATATATACCGATTTGTTTTCGGTTTTTGGTTATATATATATATATATATATATATATAGAGAGAGAGAGAGAGAGAGAGAGAGCCGGATAGTCTTCTCGACCTAGTGTTAGGGTCAGACTTTTACAAGAATTAGTTACAGCTCTGAGTATGTTCATCATATGATGGACGAAAGCTCAGCCCGCTCTCAGCTGAAGTGAAGGAGGATGTCTCGTAGACTGCGTCAATCTGAACGTCGTATTAAAGCCAAACGGCTACAGTAAAATAGGAATCAGCCGATCGAGCTTCGAATCGCTTCTTTATGCACCTTCATACAAAATGGTCTCCCCAGTAATATAGAATTTGGTTTTGAAAAGCTATAATTTCTATGTGAAAAAATTAGCCCCAAATTTCTCAAATCACCCTAAGCCAACTGGTATATGGGAATTTTTGACCAAGAATTATTTATAGTCTTAAACAAATGCATACATCGAAAATAAGTAACTTCGTCGAGTTTAATGGAAATACTGGTTTTTATTATAGACAATCCCAATATAAAATATGATTTGGTAGACTCCTGGCTTGACTTGAATGTTAAATATGACCTGTAGCTCATTGGTATCCGTAGCTATGTGCCACCCAGAAACTCAATCTAGAATCTTGTTAGGAGTGCTGAAGATACCTAGGCAAGGTCGAAATTGAGGACCACCCTTTTTGGGCGAAAGGAAACTAATCCAAATTCAATGGCGTCGTGAGGCTTACTCGTAAATTTTATAGAAGAACTCTATTTTAAGATCATGAATCACCTCAATAGACCCCTGGTGATCTAAATTATTGAATAGAATTTCTCCAATTTAGTATCCTGGAGAATATGAGATTGGATCATATCATAATTCTATTATTTCGGAATCCATTAAAACACGATCATTTCAAAATCGGTGTAAGAAAGAAATATAGAAAAGCAATTAAATCTAAGCAAATGAGATCAAATTAAGCAAACAAAACTAGGATTCCGTAGCTTTTATGAGGTTTACTGTTCAAAATAAAAACTAAGTGTCTAGCCTGACGAATTACTCAGATCGACCTAGTTAACAAGTTAGTGTGGTAAATTTATCAAAGTTAAAAAGGTTCATAAAAATTAGTTAAAGGATTTCTGTAGAGTTATTTTTGTGTACATAAGAGAAGGAAATGCTAAATAAAGCATAACTGGAAGATTTAGCAGAGTATTCAAGGCAAGGCTGACACTTTAAACACAAGATAATATCTTTTAAACTGAAGTGGAATTTGTACTTTTGGGCCCAGAAAATAATAGTTGGTGTGAAAACCAGTGCCTACCTTGGAAAGGTTGGTATGCTTTCGACGACTAAGCGAGCGTTATGTAGGAAGACCAAGGAGTTGAAGGGAGGCAACAAACAGTTAAATGCGTCCGCTTCCTCCGCCTCCTGCAGATTGATCTGTCTGGTGGAGCTTCCGGCAGTAAAATAAGGACTTGGAACAACTAACCTCAGAGGCAAAGAAGCAAGTGAAGCTATTCCCCGGAAAAAGACATCATCTATTATGGCTGGCTTTTCCTCCCTTTCTCTACCATCATGTATCCCTTCATGCGCTGGAAGTCTTGGATGCAGTCTGAGTATTCTAGGTAGGCCTTCGCGGGAACTCCAGACCAGTCGAGCTAACAACAAGACCTCCTGGGTTCGTCTGTGAGCTCCAGAACCCTGAATAACTGCCAAGGCAGATGTGGAAAGCGATACTGCTGAATCTGCTGGCACTAATCCTCTTGTTGAAGAGGAACTTGTCACAGAGTCGACCAACCCTGATGTCGTGGGGCACAGGTGATAAACGAAAGTAGACCATGCAGCAATTGATTGATGTGTACCACTAATATCTGAGGCCTCTGACAGGAGACTAGAGAAGACCGTAACAGGGAGGAAATGACCGTACATAAAATTTAAATGAATGAGGAAATTGGTTGTTTTCTTCAACTAATGAATCCTACTATTGCTTTTCTTCACTTTTTCAATTGATCTTATTTAGATATTTGGAACGTCACGTTTAATCAAGGGAATGAAAACACTGAATTTGACTTAGTTAACGTAACAGAGAGATCTTGTTAAACCTACCCAGTCCTGAGTCCTCCGTTACTGTACCAGCTATAATGTTCATAATTGAACCGTTTATGTTGAAAATTCCCAACATTTGGCAGAGTGAATAAGAGGTGCTACTTCTAGCACTGATTGAGAACTTCTCTATGTAGCAAATATTGTCTTTTTATTTCCAGTCCCCATTTTTCGTTTCTCATCGATAAATTGGTAACGCCATACCCTATTTTTATCTCTTGCTAGAGCCTAGTCAGAAAATACTACCATTATTAGCTAATGTTATGATTTTTCTGATGAATACAGCTAATGGTATAGCCATAATGACAGCCTGAAAAATTGCATCCACTTATTAATACTAGATATAAATATTAGCTTGAATTTAGTTGTAAGTATTATACCCTGTTCTGATGATGTTCGTCATACGACGAAAGCTTAGCACGTTTTTACCGGAATCGAAGGAGATTAACTCGGAAACAGCGCCACCATGAGTGTTGCAGTAAGGCCAATCGACAGCTAGTCGGGAGGAATCCGCCGTCGTTTTCTGGTGGGATCGACATTCGAAACTCTTCACTAAACACTTTCACTCGAAATGGAAGTAAGCTAAACAAGTATGAAACAGGAGATTCCTCGAAACCCAACTTTTCTTCACAAAGCAATTAGAGCCAAGAATTGGTTCGACCTCGTTCTCGCAACTGCCGTACTTGCAGTGAGACTTCAAATAACCTACTCCGTACTGCGTCCGCTGCCGCTGCTGTCATTTCTTCTTCTAGAAGTAGGCGGTTCCCAGACTTTTCACTGACAGGATGAGTGACATCTTCAAAAAAAGCCCCCCCTTAAACACCGAAGAGGTTAAACAATTGTGAAATTTTTCCTCTCGGCTGGCCCAGTGCATTTCCTATCTCCTATTAATGTATCCTCATCCTTTATTCCCTCTATAGACAGCTTAGTTTCTTCCACCTTAGCTGGTTCATTGTAAATGTTGTGACTCACCAAACCAATGTGTGCGACTCGAACTCTTGTAGCCGTTGTCAGTAAAGCTATCGTACATTCGGAGCCAGTCATGGAAATAATCCTTAGAATATAGAATATATGATGACTGAGATAGAGTTGACCTAGTTAGCCAAATAGATAAGATATAGGAAGTCATATATCTGATTTACTTGTAGTCTTGAAAACCTACTCACTTACGAAAAAATAATGGCGTTGATTGCTATAGCAAATATAAGTTTGCTTCATCGGAAGTTCCGACAGAATTCGATACAAAAAATGCCTGATATTCTTTGATATTTTCAACTGCCCTGTGACCCAAGGACACTCGAGGCAATGTGGCGTAGTGGTTAATGTGTCGAGCCTACACGCCGCACTGTCATGGTTCTACTCCCGCTTGGGGTGTCGATGCGATGTCGAAACTGCAGTCCATCCTAGATAAGAACATCTTTTGGGAAAGCAAGGCTATGTGAAATTCAATGAAAACGAAAATTTTACTCATATCATTGTGGGAAAAATCAATTACCAATAATTCATCACCTTAAACGAAAGTGTAAATACAATCATAAGGTAAATTAAGTCAAAATTATGATTTTTCCCACCATTGAGGTACAGTTAATGGCAAAATCTAGAAGAATGTGATATAGGCCGTCTATAACTTTTTATATA